ACAATTTCGTCTTTTTCGTTTTGGCATTCTACGACATTGGTATAGTTTTTATAATTTTTTTTTGTAACTTATGGTATATTTTACATTTTGCAACTGTTCTGTACGATTTACAGTATGGTTGAAAACTTTTTTTTTTTTGAAACGGCCGAAAATTCATGCGCGCGCGGATGTCATCCATATAATCAAATCAACATGGCCTTAATATCAAGTCTCTGAAGTGACACATTCAGTTGTGCTTACCCTAAGTTCCTACTGACAGCTGCGACCATGAGTGGAGTCCATCCCAAAATGTGCCGCTGGTTTACATCAACTCCAATCTCTGCCAGTCTGCCAACAGAATGGATACAAGACATTCATATAACTAATATTCCAAGATGCTATACTTAAAAATTATCTATGAGTCAGATTACTGCAGTGACATCAGATGCTGAAATGCCATGCATGTCAGCCTTATTTCAAGCCTCACAAACTCCTTTTCTTGTTATGAGGTTGTTTGCTTGTCATAATCTCATCAACTTATAACTTCTTAGCATATTTCAAATCTGAGAACAAATTAAATTGCTGGGGTCTTTGAAAAGGTATATTACTGGAAACGTTAATGCATATTTATCCTATAATGACTATTATATAAATTTGATGGTTTCTCACCGTTTGATCTCTGCGACATCATTACGTTTTGCTGCAGCAAACAGCTGGGAATCTATGGTAAAGTACAATTATTAAACCACCTGTACATCAGTCTGCACAAATTAAGGACATCTATTAAGAATACATTGAACGTATATGCTAATGTGTATGCACCAATTATGTACTACCATATATCACTACATATTACTACATGTTGTTGTGTAACAGTGGGGGCAGTCTATTCTAACTGGCTCAAAACATTCAGTTGGTGGCGATGGCACCCCACTGTTATATACAGAGTTGCATTTTCGTTTAGCTATATAAACGTAGCAGCCTGTAAACGTAGCTAGATGATTTTATTGCGGCCGGTTGTTTGTCATAGCCTCGCTGAAAATTGTACTATAAAAAATCACACTGACTTTGCCTTTACTTGTGCTACCAGAGGATGATGTAAATATACGCACGGTTGTCAGCGCCACGGCTCCCGTAACAGTAGGCGACTCCCGCCGCTAGAAACACACCAGCTCCACAACCTGACGCAACCACCGCCCCCCTCCCACCCCAAACACTTCCTCGAACGAAAACACCGCAAATACGCCAGAAACTGCCGCTCCGTGTAGACAGCTGAGATCTGTGAAGCGTTAACGCGTTGTTTCTCAGCGGCAGACGTGCACTGTGTCCGAGTTTGACCAGATTTGGGGCAAGTTTGACGCCTTTCCAGAAAATTCTGGCACAGGAGGCCGCCATCTTGGTCGGTTTTGCTCAGGCAAAGCCTCATGGGATACCGTCGTCTGCTACATCATGCTGATATTCAAGCAGATGTTAGGATGGAAAATAGTAACGTTAACTTTTTCTGACTGCCCGTTTCCCTTATGTTTTGACATAAAAGATGCGGTCAGAAAACTTGATTTGTCCATGGCTATTCAAACAAGGATTTTAACTTAACCTCACTTTGACTGGATAAGGTTCAGAAATAGCTTAGTTAGCAAGCAGCTTTGTCTCTTACATATATCAAGGAGGTTATAGTGAACTACTATAACCTCCTTGCATATATTTAACATTACACAAAAGTCAAGAAGACACAAGAGCAAGACCACCAGACTACCAAAAGACATGGCTCTGATTCATATTGTTACATGTCAAAACAATACAAAGAGCAGATCAATCTAAAATCTGGTTAAGTATGTTGCGAGCTCGCGAGATAAAACTTAAAGTTAAATACTGATGTTGCAACAAGTGCATATCTTTACTGTGCACGTCACTACTGAAAATGTATGAAATTATATATGGCGATCTCAGAGATACCACAAAAAGAGTGCATGTAAGACCCACAAAAGTGTGCAATCACTTTAGAAATACCATAGCTAGTTCCAATTCCTGAGGAAAGGACAAAATACTTACATGTAACGTTACAATCTTCTGCAAGACTTTCCCACTTTCTGGTGACAGAATTTCTAATTGACTTATACCTCACATACAAAACTATATCACTTCTTCTAGGACTTCCCAAAGATAAATACTTTAAATATGCGTTTTAACTGTTTGAATGAAAAGATAAAGTAGTTCAGTCCATGTGGCCCCGAAAAGGGACCTTAGTTGGTTATGCAATAGTTCGTAATAATCTCTATGAATATTGATCATACCATAGCTCCGTCATGTAGGTTTACATTGCTATGGTCAATTACCAAAATAGAGGTCCTTTTAAAAACTGTCTTTAAAGTCTTTATAATTTGATCACACAAACTGAACCCCAATACTTGTCAATCTGTACATTATGGTGATCCCAATACAGATATGTCTTACCGAGACATGTACAACTCCGCATAATACTGCTATATTCAAGACAGCATGTACTGAATTTAATCAATACAATGGCTTTTCTTTATTTAAGGCCCCATCGTCTTATATCCTATATTCTGGGATATCCCAAAGGTGCAAACACTCCGCTCAGGCTCTCTTTTTACGTTGTTCAGCATTATTTGTATGAATCTCAAAACCAACAAGTTGACTTGTTGTGGCCTTAAATAAAGTATCCCATCGATGTCAGTCAGCTCCTTCCCTGCCCATGCGCCACACCACTACAGCTCTCTACGATAGCACAGCAGCTTCACAGCCACTCAACGTCACTCTGGAAAAAAGATACATGTTAAGTTTCCAAAATCTACACCTGTGGAGATTTTTTCAAAAGCAACACCTTAACAGAAGGTGTAAACAGATGAGATATCATTTTGTACACGGGGCTGCCAAATATTTAAGAATTCTTCACCCCATACCATTGTGTTTTTATGCACCCAATAATGATTTAAAATTTCTTTTCTAATTTGGGCACGCACAATCTTATGTATGTAGTTTCAACATTCATAAAAATAATTGGGCAAAAAGTTTTAATACCCCCACCACCACCACTAAGGTAGAACTTTGGCACCAAATTTGAATTGTGTACTGCCGACGGTACATGGTTAGGCAGTGAATACAGGTTGTCAGGCACATAGAAATTAAAAAAAAAGTTCTTACCTGCCTCATAGATGTACAGACAATATTGTCTTCAATTACTGATCCTGAGAGGTGGTGCAGCAAGAGGGAGGAAAAACAGTCATCAGTGAAAAGTGAATATCTTTATACAGGGGAAACGTTTTTCAAGACAATGTAAAATGGTCTTGAAGCATTTAAGTAATACTAGTATACAAAGAGAAAATGAACAGAAAAAAGGAGACCTTAAGAATACAGGTGTGCGAAACAGAAAATGAACACTACATGTAAGACTAATAGTAACTGAACAATGACAACACAAAACGACATGAAACAATGTTTATTGTTTTAAAAAAGTGATAGACATGAAGGCATACAGGGTTAATGACAAGAAGACGACACAAAACACCAGCTTTTATAAGGTTATTTCCAGTCACATAACATATATTGCCTGCCATGTTGTAAGGTTAGATAGCGAACCGCATGACTACTCCAGCTCTAACTATCCAGTAGGACAGACTCTACTTATATGTTAGGCCACACCAATTTAATTTGTTGGTTCTCGGATTCGCCTCTTCATTTTTTCCTGATTTGCAAAAAAAAAAAAAAATTCAGAATCAGCTGCAAAATGCTCATATTTTGCCCTGAACAGTTGAAAACAGTCCTTTTCTTCCTGGTCATTACAGTTATTCCATCTTTCAATGCAGTGGTATCATTAGAAGTTCAAAATTCATTGTTTAAAATTTGAACCAGCCTTTTGTGTTGACTTCATACCTCCTATCGTAGCATTTGGGGCTATAATAGGATGCCTAGATCTGTTTTATTTTTTTTTTTTTCGCCCTGTCGCTTCATATTTTTCCTGAAAAAATCCGAGAACCAACAAATTAAATTGGTGTGGCCTTAGTCGTGACTTGTGTGAGTGAGCAGCATATCTACATGTATACTACTGAGAACATCCATTTACATGTTAGCAGTTTTGTTAACATACGCTCATTCTACATACCTTTCCTCCTCTAAATTTTTTTTACCTTGTTCCCTGCAGCATGTAATGGTATGTGTTATGTGTGCATTTAGTACATTCTTTTCTATGCATGATGTTAGGGTATTCATGCAACATACCATCTGAAACCAAACAATTATTCCATTATTACCCATGCATGGCATGGTACCTCTTGTTGCTTTCTTTCTTCTGTGCATTTCAATTTTTTTTTCAATCGAGTTTTTTTTCATGTATGGATGTAATTTAGGCATTACTGAAATGTTTAACATTTATCACCATTAGAATATATTCCCACCAGATTAAAATTAGACTACCACAGTAGGACATGTTAGTGCTGCATTTCTAGTAAAACACAGTGGTAGTTGTTAGACTAGTTAGTGCACTAGGACATGCAGCCACCACCAAACAGACTCAATCCTTGTACCCTTCGTCCACTTTTCGTTTCTTCTTCTCTGGTCCATTCTCGATGGGTTCGATCAGCTTGTTGTGGACGTGCATCAAACCCTTGAAGTACTTCACCGTCTTGACCTTCAGCTCCAAGGTCGCATCCTCGTCGCAAACAAAGATGACCTTTAAAGGACAAAATGTCATTTATTCAAAGATGCCAGGGTGAGAATCTGAATTGACATTTATCATACATACAGGTCATAACACAATGCACAATACTTGATTTGTTGTTTCTCTGATCTAAAAGAAACAAAGTCTTGGGGTCTGTACATTAATACTGATAATTTCAGGGAGCAAATTTAGCTTGTCAAATTCAAGTCTTCTTCCCAGGCCTCTATTTTCATGTTGTCTTTTATACTTTTACTATAAAATAATGAAGAACCACGGTAATAAATTGGTCAAAGGTTCTAGAAGAAGACAGAGACCTTCCTGTGTTGTTGGAATGCAGAGACAGTCCACATGTGGCTCACACCCTCCTCTATAGCCTTGTACAGGGCCAGGGCCTTGTGGGCTCCTGTGATCAGGATCATCACCTGCAGAGGAAAACAAAAAGTTAAATGTCATGAAAGTTTTCACCATGGTTCATACAAGAATAAAGAACTTCTGTTGACTAGAACATAGTGCAAAAATGTTTGCCCTTGTTTGTTTCCTGATCAGTCCTACAAACCAATGATACAAAACTCTAACCCCTCAGCCAGTCATTTGTCGATTAATTATCAATCAACTGATTGATTGACTGACTGACTGACTGACTGACTGACTGACTGACTGACTGACTGACTGACTGACTGACTGACTAATAATGCCATCCTACCTCCCTAGAATCCATGACAGTGCCGACGCCCACAGTCAGTGCCATGGTTGGCACTTTGCCCAAGTCGCCACCAAAGAAACGAGAGTTAGCGATGATGGTCTCCTTCGCCAGCGTCTTGACTCGCGTTCTGGATACAAGGCTGGAGCCGGGCTCATTGAAGGCAATGTGGCCGTCTGGACCAATACCTGAGGAAACGAGAAGAGGATGCATTGAAACTCCAAAATCTCTTGATATAGGTGACATCACAAAACCTCAGATTTTTGTTTGTTAGTTTGTCAAAAATAGAAAATAGACACTGAAAGGAAAGTCTATACCTTGGCACATACAGTCTCAGGGAGTGAATGCAGTCACATGCAAGACCTCACTCAACATTCTAAATGTTCTATTTGCACTTTGACCTCTTCCTTCTTTTTTTACAAAAATTTTAAGACCTTAAAAAATTTCAGATAGCCAAAAAAGAAATCGTTACAGCCTCACTTACCACCAAGGAAAAGTTCAACACCACCGGCTTCTTTAATTTTCTCCTCGTATAACCTGCACTCCTCCTCCAGGTCCTCAGCATTGCCGTCCAGAATGTGGGCGTTCTCGGGCAGGATGTCGATGTGTTTGAAGAAGTTTGTCCACATGAAGGAGTGGTAGCTCTCAGGGTGATCGCGGGGTATGGCTGCAGCAGAAGTGGAAAATCAGGGTACTTTCTTTGTCTGGTTAAGCACTGGGTGTGACCAAGGTTTGTGTTCTAATGTCCTTGGTTTGTCTAATTGGCATGAAAACAAAGTCTACATACAAACGTTAATGTGTAAAGGCTGAAGTTGAACTGTTGATGGGAATTCCTAAGATCTTTTTTACAAGTAAGCTCTCGGGGGTGATACTAGTGTGCAACAGAAAAATATGTTGATCTAGTTAAACTTACAAAAAAAGGTACTCTTTCAGAGGCCAGACAAAGGTAGTTCTTGACAAAGGTACAGATAACATCTTTTTCCAAGGCAATTAAGAACTGGAAGTCTGTTGAGCAACAACAGCTAGGATTCAATGTAAAAGTGAATATTTCTTACCAACATACTCATCCATATTGAAAGTCTTGACATATCTGAAGGACAGCTGCCCAGCTTTGTGGAATTCTATCAGCTTCTTGTATGTTCCAACTGGAGTGCTACCTGTATAGTTACAACAATTGGAAGTCAACTACATGTAACAAATCACGTGTATATGTACCACATCATATAACATAATCAACTGGACCAAATTCTGTCAAAACACATTATGGGCTCACAAAAGAAAGCAGATGTCTGGTTTCACCTAGTCTTTGAAACTCTATTTGCTTATTTCTTTTACAACTTTAAAGTGGTATGTTTTTCTTCACAAAGTAGAGATTGCGTTAACTTTCATTTAGTTGATGACCTACATATGTAATGCTAGGTCCTCACCAACATTTTCAGATTACCAATTTATCTGGTTAGTAATTACAAAGATGTTGAGTAACCAAAAGTGAATGGCAATTGTAAAAGCGTTTGTGTGTATATATATTATTACATTTAGATTAATAATACTGTATCTTACATTACGAGTACAGACAGCAGAACATCTCAAACTGTCCTTACTAACAATGTGAAGGTTGTTCCATTGCCAAAGGTTATGTGTACTTAAGATAAAATTCCCATATCAACTTACAGCTAGTTGGCTGTTGTTACATTTTATTGGGAGCTTGATATGAGTGGGCGTCGCTGTTATCACAGTTATGGTGACAAAGTGTCAGCTTGAAATTCTACCTGCCCCTCTTTAGTACTTAACTCCCATATCAAAGCATCAACAGGCTGGTGGGTTTCCATGCAAGAAAAATTATTAAGCAGATTTTAAACAAGAAAATTTCTATATCTTTTTAATTTCAAACCCCACATCAAAGCAGCAACAACCTGGCAGGTTTCCATGAAAGAAAAAGTCATTGAACAGATTTTAAAGAAGAAAATTTCAATTTCTTACTCAATTTCTATTGTGTCAGAGGTTAAACAGTTAAAAATATTACAAATCCTTGTCTGGAGGATAGATATTGTTTGTTTCTTGACAAAAGGATAGTTTCACCTGTAGGCAGCCCCATGACAAAATACTTGTCAGGACCGGGCTGGAACTGTAGGATCCTGTTCATGATGTACCTGGCCGCCCAGTCACTGGCCTTGTCATAGTCATCAAGGATAACCAAACGCATCTTGACTCACTTGGTTACAACACAACTGTAGAAAGGGAAACGTAAGAGAAAAAGAGAAAAAGATCACAGTATGAATTCTGAAAATACATTCATAGTCCTGAATAACACTCTGTGTGCTAAGGTAGCATTTTGGTACCAAATTTACATACAAGGTTAAACAGCAGGGAGAACGATAAAAAAGCAATGTTGACCAACATGTCTGCTAAAAATATGACTGCAGTTCTCCACAAGTCAGGGGCAATAAATTACATGTCTGAGAGTGTGCGACTTCCTTGGTTCAACTTGACATGTCAACACTGCTAACTATTCAGACTGGCTAAAGCTAATATTTGGGGTTGCATAATAACCAGACAAAGGTCCACACACCTGTACCATAACTACAGCCTTGGTACATTTTCCCAGGTAGACGTAATTTTCTATGATAAAAGCAGCTATATTTTTCTAAGCCCTGCTTCCAACAACTTTATATATTTCTTCATTGTTTTCTTGTTTGTTTGTTTTTGATTTGTTTGACCTAACATGCCAGTTATGATGCAGAAGATGTGTGTGACCATATTGATATCTTTAATCCTTTATCTTTAATTCACGTAGCATGGGTACCATCCGGATTACCCAGGCTACCATTCATGTAGGGGCTGCTCTTATTGAGTAGAGTAGTCTTTACGGCCTTGTAACATACGCATGACCTTTAGCAAAACCTTTAGCAACCTTTCCAGTATTGTGCAAGTCAGACTCAATGTAGCCTGGATGCCAGACCCAAAGCACACTGGACACAAAATATCTCAGTGAGCA